ACAAAAAAAGTATAAAATGAGGATATGCCCAAAAAAATGATGACATATTTTAACTTTGCGTGTTATCCATTTTTGGAAACTTGGAAATGTATATGAAATATCTGTCTGGCTCAACATATCAATTATATAATTAACAAAATTAGTGATCTGCATTGAAATTGATATCAGTAATAGAGTTATGGATATCAATAATAGAGATATTTGTCACTGGTGATAAATAAAGTCAAGCTGTAATTAGAAATTATGAAATATTAGCAGTAATTATTGATTTGGCAGTGCGAATGTTGTGACTGCAAATAATCCAAACTGATAATAGATAGATAAATATTATTTATCCTGGAATATTTACTGTAAAGCAATAGCATTCACATGCATATTAATTTTAATTCATATTAGCAGCAGTAGACATTCATCATAGGATCAGTAACAAAGTATAAACATGGCTGTCACATTTTACATTGTATAATCCTTGCAAGTTCAGTGCTTCAAAAATAGATACAGTCAAAAGTCGTTAATTCGGACACCCATAATCCGGAATGATCTATAATCCGGACCTCGAAGCTAAAACCTTTCTGCGCATGCGCCGCGTTGACACATGCGCATAGGCGTTTACGCATGCGCGTAAGACCTCTCACGACTGCGCATTTGCGTGTGCGCAAGCGCAGAATACGTTTTCGCTTGCGCGTTTTATGTATAACGAACGGTATAAGCTAAAATTATCTAATTATCTATTTCAGTTAATGTTGATGATTGCGTTGTTCCTTAATTTTCGAATTGGATCCGGCTTATTATTTTTTGCAGACTGTAAGAGCAATACTATAAAAGTAAACTTGAACTTTCGATTATGTCAAATAGAATTTCTGAATTTGGAGCTCCCAAAGGATCGTACAAAACGAAAGTATGTTTCGATGTCCATTTAACAAAAAGTGGAATTGATGCAAAAAATGGATAAAAACATGAAGAATGTGACAGAGAGGTTAGTGAAAACGAAAAAATTTCGATTGACAAGTTAGTCGGTATTCTCGGCACAGCAATTAACGGGACTTGAACAGCGGAACTTTGTAACTGAACAAAAAAATTGTTGTTTATAGAATTAAAGAGAAAGTATTATACATAAAACGAAGCAACTTAAATAACTTACATTGAAAGAAATGTTTAATAAAGTAAACAAATAATATTAAGCTTTTTTTTTTTTTTTTTGTAAATTTTGATACCTTTAGATCATAATCTTCTTATTTTCATAAATTACGGTTTCATATTTTAATTTTAGAATTTCTGCATGCCATCTTAAGAGATTTAAACTGATGATCTATAATCCGGAAAAATTGATAATCCGGAATCGCCGAAGTCCCGACGAGTCCGGATTAACGACTTTTGACTGTACAAGAAAAGAAATAGCTGTTTAAATGCATCACCAGAAGGCGTTAATTTTTGTAAATGTGATATATGGAATATCAACTAGGATGTTATAAGGATGGAATATGGCTAACTATTATTTCACTTAATTAATTGAGATAAATTCATTAATGATATTAACTTGTAGATGTATACTAATCTTGAAAAGGCATAAAAAGAAAACTTGTTTCTGAAAAACTCTAACCACGACCAGCGAAGAAGACTCCACATGATACCACTCTTGCTTTCTTTTTTCGTCATTTCAAGAGGGCAAAAAACCCACCAAATGAACTATTTAAAACAAGCGTTTGCTGCCACACAGTAGAATAAAAATTCAAAGTAAAAATGTGAGGTATGCTTTCATACAACCCACAATTAATTATGTTTAATAGAAAACCAGTACCAAAAATGAAGTTTTCTCTTAAGATATCTGCTAAGATTGAAATAGGCATTGGCTACAGAGCAGCTTAAATTTAACCCTCTGAGCATTATGACCGGCTTTATCCGGTCATCAGAACTTATACTACTTAGCATAAATTAGCTTGTAATTTAAGATATTTTGCTTTCTTTCTTTCTTTAATAATGCAAATATCATCTTAATGAATGTAAGTTTGTGAAAATACAAACTAAAATAAGTAATTACATAAACTCAATAAATCCTGTTTAATACCGGTTTTCATGACGGATCTAAAATCTTGTAATGCTCAGAGGGTTAAAGTAATTGTATTACTCATATACTTATATTCTTTATAGCAATGCATCACCATATATTGGCTTTAATAAGAGTTGAGATGTCACATACATTTATCTGTTCTTTCACTTTTTTATTTTATCACTTAATCTTTTAATTGTCTGGATACTTTATGGATTCACCTTTAATTTTTAGAATTATTTTAGTAAAAATAAATTATTGCATTAACTTCAATTAAATTCAGTTCTTGAACAGGAGATTCGACAGAGTTTTCATGCTTAGAGATTGTCAAATAAGGCAATGTTTATAGAATTAGTACAAATCCTTTGGCTTATTTTTGATAGCAATCAGTAATAACAAATTGAAATGCAATGTTAGCTTTGAAATAAGATGGTCTAGTTTCATTTGCTTTTTATTTTTAACCATCATCTTCATCATTGTCACTTTAGAGAGTAAGTGCCTTGTGGGTTATTAAACAGGCAAATAAAATAATGGGTACTTTTTACTTTCTTGTATGAAGTAAAGGGGATTTTATAATTATAAAAAATTTTGGGTGTTATATTTCAAAAGATATATCAATTTAAAAAATTATTTTGTGTATCGTCTACATACATATAGAGAATAAAGGATTCTTTTTTTTTTCCAAAAGGATTGTAAAGTGGGGCAAATAAAATAATGAGTGCTTTTCTGTTAAAGCCATGTCGCTTGGTACTTTTTACTTTATTGTATAAGTAAAAGAGGTATTGTAATCATGAAAAATTCTGAGTATCATATTTCAAAAGATATATTCATTTGAACAATTTTTTTTTTGGGATGTCGTCTGTACATACATGCAGAATAAAGGATTCTTTTTTTCCAAAATGGATTAAAAAGTGGGGTAAATAAAAATAATAGGTACTTATGTTAAAGCCATATTGCTTGGTACTTTTTACTTCCTTGTGTGAAGGAGAGGAGATACTGTAATTATGAAAAATTTTGGGTATCGTATTTCAAAAGATATATCCATTTGAACAATTTTTTGGTGTGTCATCTGAACATGCAGACAGAATAAAGAATTCTTTTTTCTAAAACAGATTATAAAATGGATTTTTACTTCCTTGTAAAAAGTAAATGAAGTATTGTAATTGCGAAAAATTTAAAAATTTCGAGTATCATATTTTTACAAAAATATCCATTTTGATTGCTCTTGAATCCATTTGAACAATATTTTTGTGTGATATCTGTACGTACGGATGGAATAAAGTACTCTTTTTCACAGCACCGCACCGATTGTAAAATAATCCAGCACTGATTGTAAAATGGATCCAGAAGAGTTTTTTTTGGGGGGGGGTGATGTCGATTCGTACGTACGTATATATGTAATATGTATCTCACATGACTCAAAAACGAGTAGCTTAAGAATGTTGAAATTTTCTATATAGGACTGCCATAACATGTAGTTGTGCACCTCCTGTTTTGGCTGCAATCGGCTCCACCAAACGTATATAAATATACATATACATACTCACTCTGTTACTCGCTTTGGTGAACTTTGTACCTTTTTTTTCTTACGTATTGGTAAATTGTGTATTTTTTGCTTTAAAAATGATGAATTATTTAGTTAATCTGCATGCAGTAGTTGTAGAATTATTAAGAATTTAAAAGTTGTTCAAGTGCAGCTAAGTCTAATATTTTTTACGATAGCAGCCATGTTTGTTTGCATTTGAAACTTAGCAGAATAGTGAATTAATTCTTTCTGCACCTTCAGTGTTTTTTTAGTAAATGGGACCAAAAGGAAACTTTTAGTTTTGTGCACCGAAAAATCCGTTTTCTTGCCCACTGGCCAAATTGCTTATTTTTGCTTAGAAGCTCTTTTAATTGTAAAACTTTTTTTTTTTTTAAACTACATTTGGCATTTTTATGTTTTTCTGAATTTAAAAGAAAAATTAAGGAAGATGTGTGTATGAATGTTATGTATTTTTATTTTTACCTTGCCACAGAGTGAGAACTGAATTAATTGAGTAAGAAATATATATTTAATGAATTTCAAGGAAATATGTTCAAGTGAAATGCACCAAAAAAATGTGTATAATGTAATAGGCCATGCAAGGAAGTCATGTAAGTGGCTACATCAGATTTTTTATGATGTCTGTGTATACATATGTACATTTTTATCTCAAATAGCTCAGAAACAATTAGCTGTAGATCATTGAAATTTTGTATATGGAACTGCTATAGATACAGATGGGGGGGAATTAATAAGTTGAATGTTGTGCTGCCAAAAGTGTATGGTAAGGCTTCCAATCACCATAGAAATGTAGCTAGTTAATATTGTTACATTCCCTTAACTGCTTATAAATTGCACTGAACCAAAAGCTTTCATAGATGATATGTCTACTTTGCCATCTGATCTGGAATCTGAATGAATGAGCTTCTCATGTTCATCTCCTTTTATGGTTACTGTTTTTGCAGTTTCATGTAAGAATGCTGCACTTTTTTAAAATAGACATCGAAGTACGTGGGAGAATGAAATGTAGTTCCTGTTTATTACAACATGACCTTTAAAAAAAAAAAAAAAAATTGACAATTTTTCTAATTTTAAGGCATATTTTATGCAAGTGCCTTGTTGATGAAAAGAATGTGAATTTTCTAAACTTTCAGTTTATTTTTTATTATTTACCTCTTTTTTCCCAATATAAACTACAGAAATTCTCTGAAATGAAGTTGTATATTTATAAAAAGTTTTTTACCTATGCACAATTCATAAATATTTTCTCTGTTTTACTGTTGTCTTTTGTAGTTTTATGTGTTGTAAATAGTTTGCAGTTTTCTTTTGTTAATTATGAGTTGATATATGTATGTAAAACATAAAACTGACCTTTCAATATGTAATTTTCTAAATATATAAAGAAGAGTGATTCAGATGACTCAGGCAATGAAGAACCAGCTGATTTTTATGAGACTTTGCAGCAAAGACGGGAAAGGCCACCAGCAATCCTCCGGCAGCCCAAAATAGATAAACTCTCAGAATGTATATCAGCTCTTACCTCTCCAAAGAGAAAAGAGGTTTTTGAAGAAGGACTGATGGAAAATCTACCTAGTGAAGGTATCTGGTGAATTAATTTTAAATATAATCTATAGCATTTTTAATTCATAATAAAAATGCAGTGTTAACTTACTGTATTGCATTATGCAGATGAGATTTGTGTGCTTTTAAAAAAATTTCATAGTAATGCTTTTTTGTGATTATTTAAATTTAGACTGTTTTAAAAATTGTTTTATTTAAGATCTGCTACTTTTCTGTTATACTCTTGCCACTCAAGTAGTCAGGTTTTTTAATTGTAAACAGTGGTACTCTTCTGTTATTGGGGTGGGGGGGGCTGGATCCAGAAATGTATGTATGTATGCATATGTGTATGTCCATATTTATGTGTGTGTGTATAGAAATGTATGTACACACATGTGTGTATACACATTGATATCTACATGCATACATGAACACATCCATCCATGCATACATACATTTCTGAATTTGGTTCCAATAGCAGAAGAGTACTGAAACTATATCTCTAAGTATAATAGTTTATAGATGACAAATATACATATCGTGTGGCAGAGGATGGTTAATAGATCAATCATCACCTGCTAGACATTAAAAAGCTTGGCAGATGCATAACAGAAAAGAATTCGATATTAATATTTGAACTAATTTAAATTTATTTGACTATTCATCTACATCTGGGGACCAAACCAATCGTTGATTTGCTTCCTTTGTGCAATTTATTTCTTTCAAATTCCTTGGTTTGTGTGTTAGTTTTTTGTATTTTATTGCAGTAGATTAGAAAATCTGGGATTTACTGAGTGATGAACAAGTAACAATTATATTCTTTCAAGATAAAGATCTTTCGTATATATAAAGAAAGATTGTGTTTAAATAAGCATCAGATGAAAGTCAAATATGTGTGAAAGCTAAATGGTTTTGCTTATTTTTAAACATGCAAAGAAAAGAAAGGGATTTGAAAAGGAATGTGGTTTGAGAACTCATGCATTCTGTTTCTCACCAGTCTATGATTTATTTATTTGTGGTGCAAATAGCAGATTTCCATTGATTTAGCAAGCAACAGCTTCAATTAAATTGCAACATGGTGGTAGACTGGGACAGTTATCTCTGAGAAGTTTTTTTATGTCTTATCCTAAAACTAAGATCAGTGGTACTGACAAAATCATTGAAATTAATGAAAGCTTGTACAGTGATGAAAGTACAAACCATAGCATAAGTCGTGCATTTCCTCCACAGTGGGGAGGTTTGTATTGATGAACAGGTAAATGTCTCCTAGCCGAAATTCCAGATCATTCTGCTAAGACTAATGGACACAGTAGAGAATAATATACTAGATGGAACAATATTTTCAAACTGTGGGAGAAATTACAAATTATTGGAGTTGAAAGCTGCAGGATATGATCACTCACAGTGAATCATTCATTTAATATTATTGATCCAGTCATGGTTCTGTTGAATGTTTTGGGGGCAGTGCTAAGTGGTAGCACAAATGTCAAAAAAGCACTACCCTTCAACATTTTCACTCCTACTTTGTACATTTTATGTGGCACTGCTTACATCTGAATGACAAAATGTTTTCTGTCATATTAGCAGATATTTGTAAAAAAAAAAAGTGCTTTGTAATAATAAATTGCCATCTGCAAACTATTCTTATAACTAGAAACTGTTTTTAAAAAAATTACCAAATTGCATAGCAGAGGCATAACAGAAAAGTAACCAAGATCTTAATAATCCATAAATTATGAAAATTTTGTCATATGCCAGAAAGTGTTTTTAAGTATAGTGTAAAAAATATTTGACGTGAAAGTGTAAGAAATGTTTGATGAAATTTGCTTTTATCATACGGATTTTTTTAATTCTGCTATTTAGTAATTTATGCAAAAGAATTCTGAATATCAGAAGTTGGTTTAAGAATGAAAAATGCCTCTGAAGTATATGTAAATCTTGCTTCAATTTAAGAAGTAATGAAAGTTTTTTAAAAAATGCAATTAAAATTGAGATAATATTTTCACTTTAATATACAAAAGATGTAAATATTAAAACTGTATAATTCATTAAAAGTTAGAAATAAATCATGGAAATTAAAGAATGCTAATAGTATAAAATAGTACATAAATTTCTGAAAAGGAATGATTAGTTTTAATAGCCTTTTATTATTATCATATTTTTGATGTCATCTCAAAATAAGATGACAACCTAGATGCATAAGCTTGTGTAGCATTTGAATGTTTATCTTATATAAGAGGCTTGCCTATTTAAATGTAGAAGTGTTTGTCATAGGATTGAGTTCTGAACTGTTTTGGCCATGTTAGTAGTTTTTAGAGAAAGTTATTTTGTTGTCTATGGCTTTTATTTTAAAATGTCTATGGCTTTGTCTATGGTCGTTTTTATTTTGAAAGCATAATCAAAAATACTTTTGGTATAAATTGGAATAAAAAAGTTCTCCATTAGTTATATAATATAAAAGAATATAAAGCTAGCATATGAAAGAATATGAATTAGAATATAAAAGCCTTCCATTCGTCGTACCCTTCTTTCCGAGATGGTTAGTTGCATTGCACCTGTGAGGTGTGTAGTTTTGAAAGCTAAGTGAATTAATTTTAGTTTATGTAGTTTTTAACCTGTTTATAATTCTTTGGAGATACAAAGTAGTAAACAGCTTGTTTAATTAATACATTTTTTTCAGTTAAAGCATCACAACTAATTCAACAAAAATAAAGTAAGGCAAATGAAAGTAAATTTATAAAAAGCTTTGAGAATCTTATATGGGATATACTGGCTCCAGTATCACATAGTCAAGATAAAAGTGTTATTTTAAAAGGTGTCTGATTCAGCACCATCTTCTCCGAACTGGAAATTTTACAAGCATGACAGTCTCTATAAAGTGCGGTAACATGGCTCAAACAAGTATTTTTTCCTCAAGTAGTACATGTATACTTTGTATATTTTTTTGGTTGTTGTTTATTATTTTGACATGGTTTCCATAATTTCCATTTCGCAACCTGATTGCTAGACACTATAGGTGTATTTTCTGTGGCTTGAGGTTGTTTCATGATCTCTGCCAATCTAAGGTGAAGTACTGAGGGTAATTTTTTCTTCTCGCTGCTGCTCAGAATCATTTCATCCATCACAAGATGTTTACCCAATTGATGCAAAAAGGGCCTTTGGTTTTTCAGGTTGTCATCATTTCAAAAGAATTTAGTCACATTGCAGCCAGCTACTGGGTGATTACAATATTTCCTGTATGTACTGTTAATTTGCAGGGTACCAAAGTTGTCCTAGTATTGCAGAGAATAAGATAAAAAAGGAAAATGTAGAATTCATAAAAATATTACATCCGTAATACTTGTGCCAATGGTCGCTTTACGCCTGTGGGGTGAATAGAGCTACTGCAGCTCTGCACCAACATGTTTGAAGCTGACTGTACGCTGATTTCAGTAATCGTAAGTTAGGAATATAACATTAAGCCCTTCCTTTGGAAGTGTGTTAATGGCAGAGGAGGCGGAAGTGAGGTGAGCATGACTAACAAAATATTAAACCATGACAGGATGCTTATTGTTGAAAAATATGATGGAATGTAATGCTTTACTGTAATAAATGAGCTTAATGTATCTTGTGGTCAGAAATGGTCGGTAAGTGAACTCGTAAAATAAAAGCTGCTGATTAATTGTCGGAAAGTTGTAAATCACTGAATTTTGTAAAAGTTTAGTGTTTGGATATTGCACACAGATATTTATACTAATCATCTGTTCTGTGTTTTATACAACAGCTATACATCATATTAAGTAGGAATTTTGAGGGGGGAGAGTTCCTTTTTAATTAGGTTTTTGATAATATTAAATTCAGTAATTTTTTTAAAAAGAAAAACATTAATGTATTTATTTTTTCTGTAAGGGGAGTTTCAAAATATTGAAACTCATTTTTATGTGTGAAAATGTTCATGCATTTAGGTTATATTATATATGTAAGTATTTTCATGGCAGTTTTCTGTTTCTTTATTCATGCTTTAAGCATCCTATTTGTACTTCATGAGTTGTGATTTTTAATGGATGGGAAAACTTGTAATATTATATTCCATGCATCAATTTATAATTCATGTAAAGTTTACAGAATTATGCAGCATCATTTAATACTTATAAATATTAAGATTTATGTATTGCTAAATTAAAAAAAGATACCTTAAAAAGGAAGTATCAGACCATTTTATGGAATTTTTTTAAAAAGATGATTTATGTACACTCTAGGACAGTGGTTCTCAACCTTTTTTATCCAATGCACTCCTTTCATCATTGCTATAAGATCACCTCCTTTCTTTTCCAAGACTTAAAAAATACACACACACACATATATATATATATAGAGAGATTGAGAGATAAGAAGTAGTCAATCAGGTGAGAAGTAAGTACAATTATACTGAAAATTAGAAATTAATGCAAAGTGCTGCTAAATTTAAATGAAGTATACTGATTAAGATGGTCCAACTCATCAGGTTGATGGTTAAGGTGGTCCAACTCATCAGTAAGAAGGCATGAATTACACCGAATTTTTGTAATACATGAAAACAGCAAGGTAAAAATCTAATATACTAAAACATATAGTGATCCTAATGCATAAAATAAAAATTAGAAAGTAAAAATGCATGGGTTAGTCTCCCTAGTTTGGCCAAACTAGTCTGTCCAAAATTTTTATTAAAAAAAAAGAACTGATTTATTTATAATAAAAGAAAAGCTTTGTGAAAATAAATATGAATATATATAATATTTTATGCGTGCAATTTTTGAATGTTTTCACTCAATTATCAGAGAACTACACATATGTAGCAGTAGCATTGTGCACATGAAACATTATATATATTATCATTGCATAGCTGTTTATGACATGATATAAATAGGCTGCTATATTTGTTCTTTTCGGCCACTTTTAGCAAATGACGCACCCCATTGACAAACAAGTACCGAATTTTCTTATGTCTTGCAAAATCACATAGATTGTGTCTGAATGCTATATTTTATCTCTAATAGACATACCTTTTATACTTAAACTTTCATTTTAAACTTTGTTATATCTGGGGAAATTGCATATTTATCTTATAGTCTCTCTCTCTCTTTTTTTTTTTTTTTTTTTTTTTTTTACAGTTCTCACTGTCATATTTTCATTCTTGGATGATTTTTCATTATGGAATTGTTCACAAGTGTGTAAACGCTGGTCTAATGTAATTGAAGCTAATAATTCTGAAGAAAAGTGGCGACAATATACCAGAGTGCGCTGGCAGTTGTTTAAGCCATCTTTTATTGTTCCTTGTTGGAGGACCATGTATACCAAATTGTGAGTCGCTTTTTCTGTTTTTCAAGTATAATACTATGTTTAAGACTTACATTATAGAAAAATCAAATTAATTTCGTTTTACTTATACTGTGAAATTTTTGTTCACAAATTTAATTTGTTTCTAAAGACTGTTAATCATTATCAGAAATTTTCATAAACTAGAACTATTTTACCTATAGGAATTAATAAAATGGATTAATTTATTCCTGGACCATTGATGATTGCATATTTAAAATTAACTATACTACTTTCCACATAAGGTCATACCCCTCCCACCCCCCAAAAAATTAATCTTAGACAGGAAAAGATAAACACAACATTAAGCAGGCAAAGTAGACAAAAATTAAGTTTAATTGTATTATTATCCGTATGAAGAAAAATGGGTGTCATAAATGGAAAGTGATTAGGAAGGAGTGTTGTTATTTGGATGAGAAGTCCCCCATTTCATAAGAAACAACAGTTAACTGTCTTTTCAGGGCATCTTCGTATATCTTTTCTCTCTCTCTCTCTTTTAATATCATTCAGTTCTGCTTGATACTCACTGGACCTCCTATTTTTAGCCCAAAGGTGTTAGCCCAGAAGGACTATTAATTTCATTTTGGCATTTTGCGCTGAAAACTCTAAATGTCGGTTCACTTTTCAAATTGTTGTCATCAAATATTATCACCCTGTGTTATATTTAAAGAAATTAAATAATGAAGAATATAAATGTATGCATGTTTCTCGCATTGTGCTAAAACAACGGCAACCAGAGCCATCAAATTTTGAATAACGTAATTTTCCACCGAATATGGACATCTGGAAGCCCTAATTTGGAATTTGTTTTATTATCGATTTCATATTTTGCAACATCTCGACGAATTTTCGATTAACAAACTCAAATATTTCAATAGAGCAATGGCAAAACTGTATTGGGGGGGGATATTTTTATCTCCAGCATGCGAGACGGTGTATCGGAAATTCTAAAGATATGCTCATTAAAAATTGTTTTGCGATATTGCTGTTGAATGGAATTTTATGGTTTAAGTGCAAAGAACATGATATTTAATAAATAAAGGTTGTTCCATCTCTGTTAGACTATTGCTGTCTATTTGTACTGGCTTAACATTTGCAGCGCTACATAATGTCAGTGTCGAGAGCCCAGTATTAATCGGTAAGTGATAGGCATGCACTCGGTCCACACTGAGTCTCTGTTTCCCTGTCCAATCAAAGTGGCAGTCAATTGTAATCCTTACTCACTCTTTGCCTGTTCAACTGGCATTATTATACGTGGGAAAAAAAAATAAAAGATAAGTTTTTCAATGTGACTTTTATGAATTAATACAGTCCACAACTACCAATTGCTATCAGCAAAGGTAACATAAAAGGATTAAAAAAAGTCCATTTAGAGGTAATGTAAAATCTGAAAGCTTTCGGATTTTTTTTTTAGCCCAAAGGACGTTAGCCCTTTTAGCCAGTGCGCGAGACTGTATCTGAAATGCTCAAAGTATGGTCATTTAAAATTATTTTGTGATATTGCTGTTGAATTTTATGGTTTAATTGAAAAGAACAAGATATTTAATAAATAAAGGTAACACACAAAATGTTAAAAAAACACCCCTTTGGGTGTAATGTCAAATCTAAGAGCTTTCAGTTTTTTTTTTTTTTTTTTTTTTTTTTTTACAAAATTTGTGCAGTGTAATTTGTTATTGTCTAGGTTGTAAAATATTTCTAAAGTGAGACATGACACTGGCATTAAAAATGGTTATACTGTAGTTTCCCTTTGCATTTTCTCAATGATATTATTATATCTTGTTGCTGGAGACATCAATTATGTTTTGGTAACCTTCTCTGCAAGTAAGCAAATGATGGTCATTTGCGGTTTTGCAGCTGAGGATGGTGGTTCGGTAAAACCATCGAAACTAGTCCTGTGAAAATTTTGAAAATATAATGTTGATTTTTGTTGTTTGACTTCTGAATTAGTACTTATTCGGCGTGTTATTGTGTCTTAAATGTCTTAGTGTTTTTGTAATTTTGTTAATCAACAGAGTTCTGGTAATATAAAACTTATTAAAATGTTTACATGTAACAAATAATAATTCTGTTATTTTATTATATAAAATTTTGTGTGAGTTGCTTAATTTTATATTAATATACTTGTTTGATTTTTACATTATTTATAAAACAATAATTTTCCCCTCTTTCATGCATTTAAAAAGATGCTTTATTATGAATCTGTTTATTAGCAGTGTGCTATTTCACGCTATATAATAAGTAATCAATGTATTTTCTTCTTTTACATAATTATATATATATATATATATATTATATACCTATGTGTGTGTATGCATGTATTACATTTCACAATTAATTGCTTTCCTTTCCCATTTAATTTTTTTTTATTTACAATTTTTATTTATTTTTCTCATTTTGCATTTTTTGTATTTTCATTAGCATGTTTGATCATTGTTACTTTCTGTCTGCCATTAAGTTTACTATTTATTATTATTATAAATTGTTTTAAAAAGCAAGCTCTAAAAAGTAAAGGCATTGAAGACTTTGTGAAGTATTATGTTTGTTGTGAGACGTATGGATGTCTCCTATTGGATACAAATCACATAATTTGCTTTAAATGCTCTGATTGTCATAAACTCAGAACAACTTATGTACAAAATCTCCCTGTATAGATAAAATGCTGTCAGGCGACATATCTGGGCTTGTTTGGAGATAATGTAGATAGGCTTAAATTACTTGCTTCCTGGCTTTGATAATTAGAATTAAGCAGGAAATATATTAAAATGATATTCTTGAGTATTAATTCTGTATGAGAGTCACAATTCTAGATTTTTTTTTTCACCAAATAATTCGATCATAATGAAAGACATTCATAATCCAAAGTTCCACTGTATTCAGTATTTTTTAGACTTAAGTTATCTAATCTGATAATAAAAACCGTTAATGAATTCTTTTGAAGACAATATTTTGGGGGAGAGGGAAGTAGATGTAAATATTTTGGAGAATTATGAATAATTACTATAAATTTCTTATAATATTTTATTTTCAGAGCTCAAAGTGCACCTTGCTTATTGTGCCTACATCAAATGACAGAACAGGTAACCAATTTTTAAAATCTGTACCAGTATAAACAAGTAAATACTGAAGAACTAACTTTATTTTGTTTTTCCAATTCTTGGGTGCCATTGATTTTTTAAGAACTTGTTCTTAATTTTAATACCACGACCAAAAAAAAGATAGATTCTAAACAAATGAATGAAATAAAGTACAGGATAAGTCAAATTAAATGTCAGGATTTAAAAGCTATACTACCCAAAATGTAATTGAAGTATTAATTCAAAAGATACATACTGTAAAAGGTGTAATTTTAAATATTTCACCAAAAATGGTGCCGTAAGTGCAATCACTCGAAGCATCTGGGATAATGAGTTTGTATGAAGACAAAGAAGGAAGATGCTGTGCCTTCGTAACTTGGTGATGGAACAGCATTTTGCATGCTTAAGTATCATGTAAACAAGTGTATCATCATTGTTCAGCACCATTTCCGAATGAAATATGGACAGGCATTGCTGGATGGTAAGGCCGTTCATCATTGGTATTCATAATTTTAAGTCAGGTACTGCATTTGCAAAGGAAAATCATTAGGTTGTTCTTTAGTGGGAGAAAACGTAATTCAGTCTGTTCAAGACAGCTGTATGAGAAGCCTTCAAAAATCTACTTATCAAGCTGGATGAAAGCTGAGTGTACCGCAAAAAAAAGTTTGTAAGAAACGTCTGCAGATTAAACCTTATCGTTTAGTTGGTGCAACAACTGAAACAAGATCTGGCTCCTGAAAAGATAATGTTCAGTGATGAATCAACATTTTACACTTTTGGATTAGTGAATAAGCATGAGGTAACAATTTGGGGGTACTAAACATCCACATGCGACAATACAATGTGAACATGATTCTCTGTAGATTGCATTACAGACTTGATGTGTGCCATGCAACAAAAGGAATGTGTATTGAACATTTGTTCGGACTAAATTCAAAACTTGATTATAATACCTGTAAATGTGGCTCACGTATTCACACATTTAAATATTAGTGTTATACCTATATACCTCATAAATGCAGAGGAGACTCATTAAATACAAATATACAGTGGCAAGCAAAACTCTGCAAATTATTTGAATATCATATACTAATAAAAATACTGAGGAAAATCACTTCTAAAATCAAGGGAAGAATGGAATTGAAATTAAAAAGTAATCGAGAAACTAAAAATTAATAAAAAGAAATATATTTTTTTAGTTACATAGCATTTAAAAATAGTGATATAAATATAATACATACATTAATTACATTTTCTGTTGTAAAATTTTGAAATCCCATCATTTATTTTGTCTTGCCCTCTTTTTCAGTAGATGTAGCAAATAGAATACATTCACTACCGACATGTGAGGGCACTGCTTTCCACAGACCAGTACTGTAGATTTGTATAGTAACATCCAGAACTAATTTTTTTTGCGAGAATTCGGGGCTATTTTAATCAAAAATATGATTTTATTACTATATAATAATATTATGTAAGCAACTGAAAACCTGAGACCACATGTCACAAATATGAGCCATAGTTTCTTATAGATCATTCCTTAATATGATTGCTGCTCTTATGGTCTTCATTAATGAAAGTATTAAAATGATGTTTCAGTAGAATTCAGTTGCTAGGTAATGGAATCAAGAATGTAATATAGTAGCATTTATGAAGGATTTTCTTTTTATTAGAACAGCAGTTATAAAGAAGAAAATTGAATTAATTAGAGAAAACAAAATCTATAAAAATTAACACCATGTTAATTAATACCTAGTTTGGTAATCTTGAGTGTCAGTCACAGCCTTACAATACCTTGCGATCAAGTGAACCAAGCTTTTTAATTCTGAAGCTGTTATAATTTGAAACCAGTTTGAATTATTGTTTCTATTAATTGGATTTATTTCTGCATTGTTTCTGCTTAGCAAGTGTCTTTACTTAACTGCATAGATTTTTGCTTGGCCTAATGCCATGCTATTCTAGCAATGGAATATGATTATCTTATTTCTTACACCCAGCAGCAAAATGATGTGCTGCTGAATTCTCTTGAAGTATAAATGCTTCATTATCTTGGAGAAGTTCACATGCCAAAAGTTTCAATTTGTTCTCAAGTATTTCACGTGTGAATTGTTGAGCATTTATACTGCTATTAATGATTCAAAATTTTCCCATATCATTTGTGCAACCCCTGATCCTGTCACCAATTCAATATTTCGAGATAAGTGTAATACAGTCTGGATGCAAATTTTATCCTTTCTACTCTTCACATACTAATATTGTCATTCCCAAACACCAAGGTTTTGGGCATTCCAAATAACATTGTCCCATTATTCTGCCATCTAGATTAACAAGACATTCAGCCCAGTTAAATTTTTTATATGGGAAAGGGTGGAAGTTAAAATGCCTTTTTTTTCATGGAATTCTAGCATTTATATAAAATTCGTGCAGTCTGCACTGAACAATCCTTGACTCAACTTCAGATTGGGCTGTACCATCTCTTCTTGTAGATACCCAGTTTTATTATTTAGATACAGTCTCTTATTTTTCTTTTATTTTATTACCTAGAAAACTTATCTACTACTCTCTTGTTTATTCTAGTATCACATAGTATTATGCATCGTTTTCTGCTTTTAATAGTATGATTTTGTAGAAGATGACTGTTCAGAAATTTCAAAATGCTCTGATTAAATTTCATCCAATTTTTCTAGTATTTTCTTTTCAGCTATAGCCTTATTCACCTAATAGTACTGTTTAATGTTTTTTCCTGGATGATCAGTTAACCCTTTGAGCTTTTTCTGTAATTTTATTGCATTTTGAAAGCTCAAATTAAAAATTCCAAAATTAATCAACAAAAACAAACAAAAAAAAAATATTTTGCCACTATCTGAATTAATTTATTTTATTATATAATTAACAAGCTCTGATTTAAAAGCAGTAAACATAGATTCATTTCAATTATTATTAATTAATAGCCAAACATGTGAAATAATCTTAGTTGGATTCATTAAAATCATTATGTACTATTTTCCTGTTTTATAATAACTACTTCAGGCAGTGGCCACACAAGCAACTAATTTCTGTATATGTTCATAATCCCCAGATTTTAAGAAACAAGACAGAAGATTTTGAATGCATTGTTTGGTATATATTTTAATTTGAATTTATTGCAGGAAACAAAAATCAGTCACTCAGGCTTCTTTTTACTATGCCTGATAATTTTGGTTAGTTTCTAAAATCATTCCTTGATGTTTATCAGCCTTTGTATTGCCATGCTTACTGTTCTCAGCTTGAGCGAAACAAACAATTTCTGAAAGCATTCTGTTTGGGTAGTGGCTCAGGTGGTATCTGGGGCTACTGAGTAATGAGCAATGGATGGCTAATTGCTCAAGAAATTATTGCAGATTTTTGGCACATGCACAAAGCTTTAAAAGTGCTACTCTTCATTGGAGTTGACCTACAATATCATGAGCTGTAGATGGCCTTCAGTTTAGTTTGGCTGCTAGTTTTGTTAACTGGAATACATTTTCTATTTTTAGTTAATAGTATTCAATATCTTTAATATTTGATGATTTAAAATCTGGTGTATTATGATAGATATTCATTGATGGTTGTTCATTTCCTTTATTATTGTAACCTGTATAAATTGTTTCAATTAAAAAATAAATGTAAAAAGTTCAAAATAGCTCCACAAATTAGTAAAAAATCTGATGTGTACACCACATGACTTCCTTGTACGGAATATTAAATTATACGCATTTTTTCTTGCATTTCATTTAAACTTATTAGAATTGAATTAAACCTATTTCGCCGACAGCGCATAAACCACAATAGAATAAATGCATTCTTTAAAATTCACTTAGGTTTTCTTAACAGTATTATATTTCGTTCATATTATAACTCAAAATGAACAAAATTTATATCATTTAAAGAATTATCTAATCATTGCCACATGTTCTATTCAAATACTATAATAAAGCTAGAACTATGTATAAAAGAAATTAAGCAAACAAAACAAAAAAGAAACAGTTTTTCCCAGAAGATTGAGTATTTCTCATTCAATTAATTCAGTTTTCACTTCGTGACAAGGCAAAAATACATAAAAACTCATATCTGTATTAAAAATTACGAAGTAAACCATAAATGCTTATTTCCTTGAAAAAATTCCAGAAAGGATTAAGCATGATTTAAATAATAAATGAAGGCGTTATTTTTGTTGTTGCGAAGCTAAGTTTCTCTAGATTGGCAACAAATTCGCTATCCTGCTGTTTCAAATGTAAACAAGAGCAATGGCTGCCATCAAAAACATTATTAGGCTTAGCAACACTTAAACAATTTTAAAATTGTTGATAATTCGAAAAATATTCCATACAGATTTACTAAAGAAATAAAAACCTTAACCGGAAGATAAGAACAACATAATTCAATCATTTTTAAAGCAAAAAATGTACAATTTACAAACATATAAGAGTAAAGAAACAGATCACTGAGCCGTGTAACAGAGTGGATATATATATATAAATATATTTATATATGTTTGGTGTGGCCAATTGCAACCACAATACAACATGCACATCTAACATGTTATAGCAGTCCTATATACAAAATTTCAACGTTCTGAGGCTACTCATTTTTGAGTTATGCGAGATACGTTCGTACAGACACCACGAAAAATTCTCTTCAGAATTCATTTTAAGGCAGTTTTATAATTTTCTTGGTGGAAAAGAGTGTTTTATTCTGTCCTTACATGCAGATATCATGGAAATACATTGTTAAATTGCATTTGAAAGAGGTCAAAATGCGATATTTTTGTTGAAATATGCTGCCTGAAACTTTTCGCGATTGCAATACTTACTTTTTACTTCGTACGAGGAAGTAAAAAAGGAAAGAAGAAAAGAATATGAACAAAAATTTTAATTTGCTTTATTTTAATCTGTATGAATTATTTTTATGTATAGAATAAATTAAAATTCTACATATTACCAGAAATTTCATAAATGAAATTCACTGGTTGCTGAATATATTATTATTAATAGATGTCTTTCAAGAATAATGTTTTACAATATTAATGCTATTATTGGTTGTCTTTTGTTGTATTTTCCATTTAATAATTATTTGCAACTACTCCTTCAAAGTATATTCAGCCTTTCAAAACAAGGTAAAAACAACCTGCTTTTCCTGAAAAATTCACTGGTTATCACATTTCACATTTAAATTACATATTTATGTAAATTTTATCCTATAATTTGTAAAAAATGTTTAATTAGGTTCAGCCAACTGATGTACATAATTCGTGGAGGAATGTAAGATTAATGAATGAATTGAAATCACTTCACTCTGATCCACCTGAAGGTATTAAAGCTGTGCCGTTAGATGAAATGTGCTATCACTGGCAGGCGACAATTACTGGTCCTGATGATAGTCCTTATGAAGGTGGAACCTTCTTCTTGTATTTGCAAATACCTCCAAGGTAAACTTTGGTTCTTTTTTTTTTTAAGGCAAGCAAAATGCTCGTTCTATATATAAACATATCAACATAATCACAAGAAAAAAATAAAGAAATGATAAATTAATTTCCATGCAAAATTACTTTTTCTTAATGACGGTTATCTACACTTTTGATTTCTTTTTTTGGAATTTGATTCTCTTTTTTTGGAAATTTATGCTGAGTAAAAATTGAATTTTACTATTTGTATAAGTTAACTCTCATTTAAAATTCTTAGATTAATTAAAATGTAAAATGCACATCTAATAAAAATATGTATAGTACGAAGTCCAGGATCAGAGTAATCGGACTTTGGTGATTCAGGATTTTTTTAAATTTCTGATCGACAGTTTAAATCTAGTAAGATGACGTGCAGAAATTATAAAATTAAAAATATGAAATAGTTGTAATAAAATAACGAAGCACCTATGACCTTAAGGGAATCAAAATTTACAAGAAAAGCACAACATATATTTGTGTCAATAAACATTTCTTTCAGTGTAAGTTTATATGAGGTGTTTTTTTTTTTTTTTTCGCCTACTACTTTTTCTTTCTTCTTTTCTTTTTTTAAATGGTTAGACATAATTTCTTGTTCAGTGCAAAGTTTCATTGTTCAAGTCCTGTAACTATTGTTTTGAGAATACCTACTACTATACTGGCAAACAAAATCTTTTAGCTCTCAAAAACATGTTTGACATGACTGTGCTATCAGTAGTGATATTTTCTGATACAGATTTCTTCTTTATTAAATGATTGATAACTGAGGCATTGTTATTGCAACACCTTCATTTATTAATTCTCCACATTTCTTCATAAATTTCATAAGTTGTAAAATTTTTCTATTTGCTTGCAATATTTAAAAACCTTCAAATTCATGGCTATCATCATTATCAGCAGAATGCAATATGGTAGCCTGCCATGAATTTTACTAAACATTACAAAAAATATTAGCAGACGTGTTCCCCATCACCATCACTGCACACAACAGATTTTATAGTAAACTATAAAAAAGAGAGAGTTTCTTTTTTCTTTTCGAAGGGTCTGTTTATAAAATTTAGCATAGAGTTATAGAGTCTACTTTATATCTGCATTTCAGCAAGTGCGACATTCATATCCATAGGTTGAAGGATAGATGCTTATTTGGACTAAAGAATAAGATGGAGACATTAACTGTACTCAAAGTATGAGTGAAGCAGTTGTCTATAAACAGGGCAATTTTTGCTTCATCTCCAGGAAACCAACCAGTTTTAAGTGTTCCTGAGACTTGCATATGTAATAATTTTTAAACCAATCATTCATTAATGTCTATGTCATCCTTTATTATTATTATTATTATTATTTTACAATACATGATGGGGAAAATCTTTGCTTTCTTACATGCCATTTTGTGTTTTTGTTTTTTCGATTCTGAAAATTTTATATTAGTGCATTCTTGGAGCATTTGCATATGCCAAAATCATGAGTTTCATTTTGGAATCTTTGATAATAGTTTGGTGGGACCTTTTCTGCAAAGGTTGCCTAGGTATTTTGGTCCACATATTTGCCAGAAAAAACCAGTTTCATCAGCAATATAAATCTGTCCTGGGGATAATTTTTTTGCTGTTAATGAGTTCAGTGAATTCATCTGCAAATTGTTTAGATGTTTCAGTATAAGATGCAGCTTTTTTTGACTGAATTTATAGTTCCCTTATATCGTGGTAGTTTTAAATTTAGTTAACTAACTTGTTGACTATGTGCATTCAATTAAAAAAAAAAAAAGATTTCCCCATAAAACATTTGGGCTTGACCTATTAGCAATACATCTTTAATGGCACATTCTCGCTCCAATACTGTCTCACCCATTCAATAATAACTTAGTTTTAGGATCATCAGTTTGGGCATAATGAATGATTTTTGTGTTATTCACTGCGAGTAAGATGTCAGACTCCACAAAGGCGATATTCCTCACACAATTTTAAGACATTATGTGCCTTCACCGTCTTTTTAAGTGATTACACGTTTTGCTTGTTTAACATCAAAACATGTGTTTGCTTTGAAGATCCCTCTACAACTTCAAAATTAGAAACTGTGTTTGGAATAACAAGAATTAAAACTTTAGGTTTGATAAGATAGCTACAATAATAATAGCCTTCAAAATATAATAAGCTGGATCAAATTAAAAAATTAAGGAATAGTGCAATTTGCTATGTTAACTGAAGTTCTTTCTCTCCTTTTTTGGTGCTATGCTAATAAAAGGAAACTAACATAAACAGCATCCTATCTTGGACAAATGCCTTAGCCTTCACTTATTGTCAAAGTCACTCAGAAAAATGCTAAGTCTGTGCAATTACTCGAGAGCCACAAGTGTAGTCGTGGCTAATGTCAATGCAGTGTTGCAAACAGCTTCCATATTGCATTAAAGTAGTTGCACATAGGTACTAATATTTTTATTTAAAAGCCTTCCTCTTTTTTTTTTTTTTTAAACAGCTTAGATTCGTATTTTTATAAATATTTATTTCATTTGCTTCAATATGTAAAATAAATTTTGGCTTATTTCTTTCCCCGTACTTGATACTGGATGTTCCATCTCAAATCTTTCCCCCCTTCAATTTTTTTCCGTCTTTACTAAATTTCTGTCGATAATAGTTTTCCTTCCCCGATTTTGCAAATTTGGGATTTTTTTGGATATTAGATCATCAGTTTAAATCTAGTAAGATGTCATGTAGAAATTATAAAATTAAAAATATGAAATCATGATTTATCAAACAATGAAGTACAGTCAAAAGTCGTTAATCCGGACTCGTCGGGACTTCGATTCCGGATTATCGATTTTTCCGGATTATAGATCATCAGTTTAAATCTGGTAAGATGGCATGCAGAAATTACAAAATTAAAAATATGAAACCGTAATTTATGATAAAGAACAATTATGATCTAAAGGGTATCAAAATTTACAAAAAGAAAAAGCTTAATATTTATTTGTTTACTTTATTAAACATTTCCTTCAATGTAAGTTGCTTCGTTTCATGTGATAATACTTTCTCTTTAATTCTATTAAACAGACATAATTTCTTGTTTAGTTACAAAGTTCCGCTGTTCAAGTCCTATAATTGCTGTGTTGAGAATACCGACTAATTTGTCAATCGAAATGTTTTCATTTTCAATAACCTCTGGGTCACTTTCTTCACTATCGGAAGCGAATTATAATGACGAGGAACTTGATTTAAATCATATCAAAGACGGAGTATATCGAGATGAAATACTACACTTAGTACGGAATTATAAACCAAATAAAATAAAAACATCTGAAGATAAGGATAGTGCTGACAGATCAACTTCATGACGTTCTCCTCTGCCGCAGAGCAGCGTGAAATTGATAAACAGATTTCAGATTTCAAAACATACTTTCGCTTTGTAGTAAATATATATCAGAAATTCTATTTGACATAATCGAAAGTTCAAGCTTACTTTTATAAAATTGCTCTAACAGTCTGCAAAAAATAATAAGCCGGATCCAATTCGAAGATTAAGGAACAACGCAATCTGCAACATTAACTGAATTAGATAACTTTAGCTTAGCGTATAACTCCGTTACACATTAAACGCGCATGCGCACAAGCATATTCGCAGCTGTAAGGGTCTTATGCGCTCTCGTAAACGCCTGTGCGCATGCGTGAAAGCGACGCATGCGCAGAAAGTTTGTAGCTTTGAGGTCCGGATTATAGATCATTCCGGATTATGGGTGTCCGAAACGACTTTTGACTGTATTTGTGATTTAAAAGGTATCAAAATTTACAAAAAAAAAAGGCTTAATATTTATTTGTTTACCATATTAAACATTTCTTTCAATCTAAGTTAAGTTGCTTCGTTTTTTGTGCTGATACTTTATCTTTAATTCTTTAGACAGACAATCTCTTATTTAGTTACGTTGTTGAAACTGCTATTTTGAGAATTCCGACTAACTAGTCAATCGAAATTTTCTTATTTTCAGTAACGTTTTGTGTCACTTTCTTCGCTGTCAACAGCGGTATTTTCTAGTTCTTAGAACCATACTACAGATTTCGCCATTCATTAATTGGTTGATGATTGAGAAGCATTGTCATCACAATGAAAAACTTCCTTTATATCATTTTCATTTATTACCGCTTCTCCACATTTCTTTACAAAATTCGTTAATTGGAAAATTTCACCTTTGTTTTGCGATATCTGAAAACCTTTAAAATAAATTAGCGGCTATCATCTTCAAATTTAACTATCCTTCACTATACATATTTGGCTACGATCATGAGCTTAGTGACTAACGACAAGTTGTTCCGATAAATTTTATCTTGCTTCTATCGCACACTGAGACAATTAAGCCTGAATTGTATTAATTTAATTATACTTATGTCTATATCTTGCACATGTTAAGGCTTATCAAAGTTCTGAATAAATAAATTTCCACGTGTACTTAAGGCGTATTGAGGCACGCTAAGTATCTTACTGCCGTTTGCAGTCTCTATGGGTCCTAAATACTGCGACTCGGTGCGGGCATATGAGCCCTGGCGCTCGCTGGTTCCGGGTTTATGTGAATTACACATCAGTTATTCTTAATTCAAATACCCTTAAATGTAATCTTTGGGTCTATGAGTATCATCAACAAAATCTATTTTTAGCATATGGAAAGAAATTTTTGGTAAATTTTTCCTTGTCAACATTTTTTAGCGCATTTAACTTAAATCTGTAATCATCGCCAAGCGTAATGTCAACATAAAAAGGTTACCATATTCCTTTTTTATTCAATTACTAACATAAAAAAATTGTTTAGGCATCGCTACATGAGTCATTACTCAAGTTGTTATGTTTTGATAAACATGCGGTGATGAAAGTACAGTCAAAAGTCTTTAATCCGGACGTCCATAATCCGGAATGATCTATAATCCGGACCTCAAAGCTACAAACTTTCTGCACATGCGTGAATGCATAATGCATTGACGCATGCGCGTTTAATGTATAATGGATGGTATAAGCTAAGCTAAAATATCTTAATTATCTATTTCAGTTAATGTTGCAGATTGTGTTGTTCCTTAATCTTCTAATTGGATCCGGCTTATTATTTTTTGCAGACTGTTAGAGCACTTTTATAAAAGTAAGCATGAACTTTCGATTATGTCAAAAAGAATTTCCTAACCATTCCGAAATCTGTTTATCAATTTCATGCTGCTCTGCGAGGGTGGGGAAACATCTCGGTGCGCAATGAACTGGAAGTTGATCTGTCAGCACTATCCTTATCTTCAGGGCAGATGTTTTTATTTTATTCGGCTTATAATTCCTTACTAAATGTAGTATTTCATCTCTATGTACTCCGTATTTGATATGATTTAAATCAAATTCCTCGTCATTATAAATATCATGAATGCACATCAAATAGTTTTCTGGTTGCAATTTTCTAATTTCGACTATGCGTAATGTATGCTTTATGCATGTGCGCGTTGAAAGAAATGTTTAATAAAGTAAACAAATAAATATTAAGCTTTTTTTTGTAAATTTTGATACCCTTTAGATTATAATTGCTCATTATTTCATAAATTACTGTTTCATATTTTTAATTTTATAATTTCTGCATGCCATCTTACCAGATTTAAATTGATGATCTATAATCCGGAAAAACCGATAATCTGGAATCGCCAAAGTCCCGACGAGTCTGGATTAATGATTTTTGACTGTATAATAACTAATGATTCGCCAGGTTGGCATCAGGTCAACAATGTATCTATGTGGAATGCTTCGGTTTGACATGTGTGCCAAAGCAGATACGCAGCAATGGAGCCTAATTACTGATCGTATAAATTTATGTTAAAATGATTATTTCTTTAATAACAAGGTATTTTATTTAGTGTCGAAGTGAAATTAAGAATCGGAATTCTCCAGATGTTCTATTATGCGGGGAGAGGGGTAATCAAATGTGCATGCGTGAAGCCTACAAGAAAAACGGTTTTGTTGGTTTTGAGGTCCAGGTTTTAGATCATTTTGAATAATAGAAGTCCAGACTTTGTATTGTAGTTGCTGCTTTTTAAATGATTGCATGAAATGGGCAGAATTAAGGTAAAAAATAACTGTAATTAATAAACATTGCAATTAAAAAACTGTATGAGATTAAACAACAAGCATAAAATTAAAAATGATATTTTAGTATAGTAGAGAAATACAGCCTTTGGAAAACGTACAATGCCGTTTAAAATAAATTAAATAAAATCTAACTGTTGATGGACAGTACATTTTTGGCATTTTATTTATTATACCATTTTACATTCTCTTTCAAGCACTTAACAGTTTGGATGTCTAATGTTTAACACTTTAGATACAATCATCAAAAGTATAAGAATGATTTTTTGTGAAATATTCTGAATCCCTAAATAGTGTCTGTGCAAGTGATGGTTTAAAGACTTTTGGCTAAAAAGAAGCCAAACCAAAGTTCAAATACCATTGACGAAATATACGAAGACAAAAAAAGTGCTGAGTGGTATGGCTTTAATGGGAAAGAACCTTAAATTTTAAAATGTAATGTTTTTAATTATTGTATTATGTTTTGTAGTAAATCTATACAATTATTTAGCTTTCATACTTAATAATTTAATTATGTGTGTAGTTACCAAAATTAAGTTGAATTTGGATAGAAATCATCTTGGACATTTTGAACATCCAGATGAATTAGTTGACCTTTAATTTTTATTGGATCCCTCCCAAATGTAAATATTGAAATATTAACTTGTATACAGATGCATCAGTACTCCAGATGTCAAGATTGCTTGGGATTATAGCCATTTTAGTCATAGTCAGCCTGCATATTTGTAGTTCTAATGTACTTATGTATAAATGATTATTTCTCTTTATTTAAAAGGAAAACAGAAATATTTTGATGGATTTTCATTGTTTACATTACTAGGATGTGCAACTTGCAATTCACGATAAATCTAAAGATCAAATTACAGGTTTTTATGTCTTTGTGTTTGAATTGTTTTGTGCACTTATAATTTTTTAAAAATTTTTATTTCTTGCATAGTTATCCAATGGTACCACCTATTGTTCGCTTCATCACGAAAATATTTCACCCCAATGTTAGCCGCCATGGTGATATTGGAATAGATTCAATACATGACAACTGGAGTCTCATTTTGACTATATCTAAGGTATATTAGTTGTAATTGTTAAATTAGAATTAACATCCCTCCTTTTTTAAAATTTTAAGTTCTTAAATCTTTTTCCCAAGTATTATTATTATTAATTTTAAATATAATAGGTGCTGCTTAATATGATTGAAGTTAATGTTATTATTCAAATATTGTTATCGAATTGCCAATGTCCCTCCTGTATGTGTATGAAAACATGGAAAGTACATTGCTTATTGTGATCAACAAGTCATTTTAAATTATCAAAATGCTATAGAATAAATATTTTAAGCTGAAATAGAGCCTCCAAATAAAAGATGAAATAGTCACTTAAAGTTAAAATATAGTATAGAAATAGCCTAGTTACAGAAATATGATGCCAAATAAGTGATTATGTCACCAGTCAGCTGATTTTAATTTGAAGGAACCATGTTCAAAGAAGACAGATTGACTAGGCCAAACCATTTAATATGTGGAATTGTAGATGATCTTGTCCTTTTGTGCCAAAATAGCTTTTCACTATTTTTGAGTTTTACAATTTTATAAGTCCATGATATAAGTCACTTATATCATGGAGTCTTGCAAAAGGCATAATGATTTAAGTTGACTTTTTAAACTACTATGATCAACTCCCAAAAATGACTTAATGCAATACTGCTGGTAAGTTAAAATATTTCTGAACAACAGCAGAATTGTAGCATTAATCAGGGCTGCCATGCTACTCGGAAAACTGAGAAAAGTCAGGGAATTCGAAAATTGACCAAAAAAGTTGGGGAATTTAAATATTTTAGTCAAAATCTGGAAAAGTTGGGGAATTTCATACTGCGATCCTCAAAATAGCGATTTTCATGCCAACGCTGGAAGGAATGATTTTCTTGGTGAATCATGTATATCGCATGAGCATCATTCAGACAGCTTGGAGTAGAGCCATTTTTTGTAACGCCAGTCAAATTGTCTTTTAGAAGCATCTTTGTTTTCCAGTAACCTCAAGAATCCAAGCTTGCATGTATGCAAGTGCATGTTAAATGAAAGAAAATCCCCCACCCCATTCTCGTATAAAACAAAATCTTTTAAACCATTTATTCTTTCTTAAATGCCGTATTTTTCATTTTGCAGTAAAATAAAAAAGTAATTTTTAAAAAAAATCTGAAAGGCTTCAGATTTTAAGTTACGTCCAAAGAGGTTTTTTTTAACATTTTGTCTGTCACCTTTATTTATTAAATATCACGTTCTTTGCACTTAAACCATAAAATTCAGTTCAAGAGCAATATCGCAAAATAGTTTTAAATGGAGCATTTCTTTAGAATTCCCAATGCAGAGTCTCGCATGCTGGAAATAGAAATGTTTTTTCTGTACAATGTTGCCATTGCTCGCTTTGAAATCCTTGAGTTTGTTAATCAAAAATTCGTTAAAGTTTTACAAAATATGAAATCGATAATAAAACAAATTCCAAATTTGGACTTCCACATGCCCATATTCACAGTAGGATTACTTTATTCAAAATTTGATGGCTCTATGTACCGTTGTTTTATCACAATGTGAGAAATATACATACATTTATACAAATTTTTCATTTTTTAATTTCTTCAAATATAATGCAGGACTCTAACATTTGGTGGCAACAGTTTGAAAAGTGAAACGCACATTTATAATGAACCAACCCAAAATCACAAAACAAAAACAATGGTCCTTCAGGGACAAAGCCCTTTTGACTAAAAATGCCATCTAGGCTAACCATTTAATATATCTATATTCGCCAAACCATCTATTTTTGTAATTTAGTTTTTAATCCTTAAGTAACTATATATTATTGCTATTCATACAATTTAATGTGTCTTCTTTCTTCTAAATGTATTTACTAATTATTTTAGGCAATTTTCTCTGGCATACTCGTGAAAATATACAGCAGCATTTTATCAAACTGAATAATGAATATGTAAAAATAGTCATAATTTAAAAGATATGGAATTTAATATTTTACTGATTTAATTTTTTATTTAAATTTTGTATATTACAAAATAATTAAACTTGTAAATTTCATATTATGTGTATGATAGGTTTTAAAAATACTTTTTGGGGATGCAATTAATAATACACAGATATTGCTGATAAAAATAGGCATGAAAATGCATTATTTTGTAAGTAGTGTTTTCATTTTTCCCAAGTATGTTCATTGGTCAATTTTTAGATTCTTATATAATTTATTTTTTATAGATATTAATAAGTATTCAATCACTCTTGACTGATCCTTATTGCCATGTTTGTATGGAACCAGAAGTGGGACGTTTATATCAAGAAAACAGAGCTACTTTCGATGGCATTGCCAGGTTGTGGACATTGCGCTTTGCTATGTTTCACAAAAGACCCCCCATTATGGAAAAGCCTCCATATGAAAATGGAATAGAAGAAAATGGGTTAAACCCAAATTTGTGAGAAAACATTCAGCCTTTTAACCAAAAGAGGGATAAACTGGTTCTGGGCCAGAATCTCAAATATGCATAGAATTGAATGATTTGTATGATAATATTTGTACACGTGTTTTATATGGATATCCTTAAAGTTGAAGTGAATGATGTGAGTGGTGACAGGATTTCAGTGGAAAGCAAATCATGTAAAAATAAAGTAAGCTTCATCCTTTTTCTTTTAAAAAACAATAGGAAAAGGTGAAAATGTATTAAGTTCTAAGCCTTATAATTTCCAGGTGAAAGGAAAATAAAGAGGCTGGTAATGAAAACTAATTCTTTGGATATATTGTATAGATACAACTGAAAATCATTTTATTAACTTTTAGGTAGGTGAAAAATATTTATTATTGAAGATCTTAGCACTGAAGGATCAAGATTTGCTGACCAAATATGATATCAATGATATGGAAGGAAACTATAAATCAATATTTTCTAGGTCATATTTTTGTTTTGTTTTTTCACTGAATGATATAAATTCAGTACTTGAATCAATGTAGCTTAAAAAAATCAAGATATCTGACCTAGATTTTCCATTTTAAGTTAAGCTAGTAAATCAAAGTGCTGATTTTGCAAAAGTGACATTAAGTTGTTTTTACAAATAATATGGGAATGTTATTTGGCAAAACATGTGTATATAGGTATTGGTTCGTATGAGAGTTATTGGTCTAGAAATGATGTTTCAAGGATGTTTTGTACAGTTTGTTTTGTAAATATAAAACTGGCTATCTTCTGCAGAGTGTTTTTATTTTTAAATACATGTAGGAAACATGTATTCAGAAATTTTTCCATGACTGTGCAAAATTGTGTTATACCTCAGAATTTGGCATGTAATTTTTATATCATTAAATTCAAAATACATATTTTCCAGAAATTGCTAAATTTTCTCACCTTATTATTAACAATTTCCATTAAAAATGTTAATTTGTAGCATCTGTTTATTAGTATTTTTTAAGACAATATTTAATTTTTTCTTTGTTTTATATGTGGCTGTGTTAATCACTGTATTCATGGATTTAGCGATATACTATTCTATTCACCACCAAGCACCTGCCTTTTATATATGATTAATCATAAATATGTGGAAAGAGGTTTTGCCTTTATCTGCAGTAATTACAAGTTATGAGTATGCCCAGGAAAGTTTTTTTTTTTTTTTTTTTTAATGTAAATATTGCAGTATGTCTTCTTCTTTTCCCGTGCAGTATTAGTTCAGCTAAATTTTGTAACATACACATTACACATTCATTTATATTCTAGTTTTTACTTGAAAGAATAAGAAAATAGAAATTGAAAGATGTAAATATTTTGGAATAAACAATTATTCAAATTTTATTTTATGAATGCATATTTATTCAATTGCAGCGTAAGGAAAGGAAATGCAGAACTATTGCAGATTGAAATCAGTAAATGTTAATACTTAAGAGGGCTGTGTTAAAACTCTCTCTCAGTATATATATATCATTCATATATATATATATAGTACAAAGTAATCCAGATGTCCATTATCCGGAATGATCTATAAGCTGGGCCTCAAAGCCACAAACTTTTTTTTTTTTTCCTTGTATGCTTTACGCATGCGCATTTAGCACAAAAAAACGAAGCAACTTAAACACCTTACATTGAAAGAAATTTTCAATAAAGTAAACAAATAAATATTAAGCTTCTTTTTTTTTTTTTTTTTTTTTGTGAATTTTGATACCCTTTAGATCATAATTTCTCTTTATTTCATAAATTACGGTTTCATATTTTTAATTGTATAATTTCTGCATGCCATCTTACCAGATTTAAATTGATGATCTATAATCTGGAAAAACCCTTAATCCAGAATCGCCGAAGTCCCGATGAGTCCGGGTTACAGACTTTGTACTATATATGTATATATATAGCATAAAAATGTGAGATGTTAGAAATGTATGAAAAGTTTATTTTTTTTTGTGAATCAGTAGTTCCTCCCCCTTAATCAGCACCATTCCTCATGTTCTGTTATATAATGCAGCGTATCTCAAAGCTTCTTCCTAATTTTAAGCAATTGCTTTGTTATTGTTTGCAGTTCAAGTTAAAAAGGTATCATTTTTATTTTTTGTGGCAGAGTTTTGCAAATTTAATCTTTACTCAAGCTTTTATTATTTAATATCAGCAACTGTCTAAAGTATCACATTCTTTTGCTAATTATGTATTAATGCATTTATGAGAAAAGGACTGCATATCAATAAGCAAATGACATATTTCAAATCTATTTTTCATGTAAAAACTGAGGCCTATTGTTTTTGTAGCAACATGCAAATTGCAAATTTAAAATTTTCTGAAATCTTGCTATAGAGTAAAATATTTACTAGAGGTTATTGGTTTGCATTATAGTCTTTAGTATTCGGCATTGAGTTAAAATAAGTTTAACATAAAAGAAAATAGCATGGTTATTCCGTCTTCCATTGAAAGAAGATATTAAGTTATTTATTGATACATAGTGTTTATTAAAAAATTTTCAAACAGATTTTAAGATTGTAAAAACATTTTTATTTCTGGTTGTATCCCCTCCCCCACTGAGTAGTAATAGTCTGTATGTGTTTTTTATAGGAATAGCAATATGGTTATTACCTATTTAAATCCAAAACAGAGACAGTTCTTTTGCTGCTGCTCTCTGAAAAATGTTTTATTGCAGTTTACTTTTAATTATTAGTACATAATAATGTGAACAGCTATTTTTATTGTATGTTCAGTTACAAATAGTTTAAAACAAATTCTAAAATTTTGTTCTACTTTATGCGTAACTTATTATGGATTCCATGTAATTGTTTTCTAGATTTTTTTAATGTAATTTTCAAAAACTTAACTAGTAAAGATGGCATATCAATGTATCAAAATTTAATGTTCATTGTTAAACTATATTTAACATTTTTAAATTTTTCTTTCCTGTTTATATATATATTACTTTTTAAGTGCCATTTATTATGTGTTGCTTTTTTTCTCCTGCCAAGATACATGCTGAAGCTGTGCCACATATTTTCTTGTTACTTGTTTTTCTTTGAATTTTTAGTTATGTTTCACTATAACTATTCTCTAGTTTGGAAGTAAAATTTTGTGTCTGAAATTAAGTTACAAAATTTTCACTTCAAAATTTGTCTAATTTTTCGTAATTACGTAGCTTAATTTTGATGTAGAGCATTAGTAATGAATTCATTCACATAAAGTATTTTGTGAAATTTTCATTAACTAATCATTTTGCAGTTAAATTTTTCTATAGTAAAGTGATTTTGGTACTTATGTATTAGCACAATTACTGTGCACAATTTATTGATTTTTTGTAGAAGACTGGCGTATAATTGCAAAAGAAAAAAAAAACCATTTTTTTTTTACATATGTATGCATTATTACATGCATATTTTGCATTAAGTATTTATCCCCAAAATCTATCAATAAATCTACTTTCTAATTCTAGAGTTTTTTACCCAAGAACGGCTATTAGTTCTGAAATAGCATTTTGCATCACATCGCTATAAATAGCTGTATAATTTTTCAGATTGTTGCCGCCAAATATTATCGCCCTGTACTATATTTAATGAAGAATTTACATGAATATATGTATGTTTCTAACACTGAAAAAACAATGACACCTAGAGCCATCAAATTTTGAATAACGTAGTTCTTCACTTTAACGAATTTTTTTTAAGGAACTCTGTGATTTTAAAGTGAGCTGTGACAACACACTGTATGGAATAAATTATTTTTTCTCCAGCATGTGAGATTGTCTGTTGGAAATTCTAAAGATGTGCTTTTTAAAAATATTTTTAAGCCAAATGCTCTCAAAATTTGTATGTATGTATAAATGAAATAAATATCCCTTTGGACATAATATAAAATTTGAAAGCTTTCAGATTTTTGTTTATTTATTCCCCCCCCCTTTCTGGTGAAAACTCTATGGCAGTTGCTTTTTAAGTTCTGTTCAAAGCATTATCCCTTTTAACAATTTTTGACAAGATACATATTTGTACAGAAATATTATCACATATTCTTCCATTGAAGGGAAATCTCACAAATGCATGTTTTAAAATTGAGTTCAAGATAAACAAGTATCATGATTTGTGCTTAAAAATTGTAGAACTTGGTATACAACAAAAGGAATAACTATGCAAATGATGATACCATTTGTGAAAATTGAAGAATACTTATGGACAGGCTGCTAGAGTTGAATTCATTCTAAAAATTTGCTGATTTCTACTAGGTAATTGTACTAATACATAAGTACAGGTTTACTCTCTTCAGTTTAAAATGGATATAGAACTGCTGTACCTTGATTTACAATTGAAAGTTGGAAACCTAAAAGCTTTAAATTATTTGGATTTTAAATTATCTCTACTGGTAACCCCCCTATAACACTAGCAGTAGGTTCCTAAAAAGTGCCATATCATTTGAATATGTGTTATACAAACCAAAAAACTATTAACAAAAAGTGTTATCTCCTAAATTTAATATAAATGTGGCATGTGTGTGTGTGTATAGAGAGAGATAGATATTCACTGGTTATCAAAATTAAAGCACGATGACAGAAATAAAACATAACTGATACTAATGAAAAATTAACAGAAATTTGTGAAAAAGGAAACAAATTATAATGTTTGGCAGTTGATAATTTGCAAAAATATTGAACTCAAAACCAAGTTTATGAAAATTTTAAAATAATGGAAAAATTAAGTCGCCTCTTGTGGATTTTTTTTTTTTTTTTCTCTAATATGTTGTATGGTCACCTGTGACAGTATGCATACCTCACATTTTGATTTCATAGACTTTACCAAAGTATTGATCAAATCTTGTGGACTTGCATATCATGCTTCTAAAAGTGCATTTTTCAGCTCATGGAGTGTCTGGTGAGGAATTTGTCGTGCTGAAATTTTGCACCCAAGGCATCCCCCACTTGCTCACTCGGGTGATTAAGGTGGCCAATCCGTTTGAGTTATATCTTCTGTCTGCAAGTATTCTGAACTGCAGATGATCGATGAAGCTGAGCAGTGTTATCCATTAGCAAAAACTCTGGGCCAACAGCATCCCTAAACAATCTAACTTGGGGTTCCAATATCTCATCCACATATCTCTATGTGGTTACAGAACCTCATTGAAGGATATGAAGCTCAATGCAGCCATTTGTCATGATTCCTCCCCAAACCAATAAAGTGCAGTTGTGGAAACGGGATATTTCACGGACAAGGGAAGGCAGGTTGCATGTTCCTTCCTCACACCATATCAAAACGTGTCTAGAATCACTGTTCAGACTATATCTGGTAAACAATGCAGTTTAAATGGCCCCCTCTGGAATTGGTTTTCTTGTGCTAACCTCATTAGGCCTTGCACCAACAGAATGGCTAATTCAAGTTCCTGGGGCAGCTTGAGGGTCTAAAACCAACTTGTTTGCCCTTTGAACAGGCTGTCCATCAACTGATCCAGTGCCTAAAAAGTGGCTGGAAACTCGATATGACACTTTGAGGGATATTCATAATCTTAGGTGGCCTCCATTTGTGTTTGGCCTCACTCGATTTCACCAATGATTTGTCATTTTTGACCTTCACTTAAATGATGCCTTTGAGCCATAACTACTGCATACTGATCACTCTCCAAAACTACATTCACTTTAAACAACACTACAGGCCAGAATTCCAACATTCATTTATTGCTCATCACATCAATCATTGGATACGCATGTTTCCTGCGCTAACATAGGCAGGGAAGTGCAAATTTGTGTTTACTTGTATTTAATTAACATAAATAATTACAGCATTGAGCATTGATTGCAACACTGATTTAGCATATTTTTTCTCATCATCCTTAAATTTTGATGACTAGTGTGTATAAAATATACATATAAACACATTTCATACTAAACTACTAACATATATTTCATACTGAATCATACTGTATGAAACTAACAGCCAATACAAAAGGGAGGGATGTGTTCCAAAAACTTTTAAAGGCAAAATATTTGTTTTAATGGTTTCTCACCCTTGCTTGATTTAAGTTTAGACCATTTTCAATGTCAGATGTCGTTTCTCCTTTTAACAAAGGATTGAAAAAGTATATTTTCATCCCCAAAGAAAAAATTTTTCTTTCAAAAGTTGTTTTCTTAATTTCAGACTTTGTCAATAATTTTGCAATAATTATTCATAAAAACGATGAAGCTAATTAAAAGCACATACCCAAAAAGTTTTCATAATTTTCCCTCCCCAAATCAAAATTATGTAGCAACTCGGCACTTGAAGCACAAAATACATGCTGTATAAATGATAAGCACGACTTAATTTCAAAAGAATTTGGAGTGATAGAATGTGATTATATCCAGAATTTATTTTTCTATGCATAAATAAATAGATTGTTATTTTGTACTACACATGATGACGTATTATGTAACTTAATTTTATAAATGTTTAGAATAAAAATCATGTTATCAAAATATGTACATGCATAAAGTATTAAAAGAGGATTTATGCATATTCATGTGCTAAAAATGAAACCGTGCTGCAGTGCCATATGAAGGTTTCTGCAATTTCCTTATTGTATAAGAGTGAAAGTATATAATAAGAGGGATACTTCTATATGTGTGTGCTTGTGGGAAATGGTTCAGATGTTGATGTTGTAGTTGTTGATGATGATGATAGATTCATAAAGAATTTGGAGTAGTGGTTTTAAAAGATTTATTTTGTGAAAAAAACAATGCATTTGTTGTATACGAATATTTGTGGTGAAAACACAGTAAATTGGCATTGTATGCCCACTCTCTAGTGAATTTTTATATTTCTACTGTGTATAGAAAGAAAGTGTAACCAATGGAGGGTAAGCTTGGAAAACAGCAAAGAGTGTGAAGTCCACAAGCCCAAGATAGAAACCCAGTTCAGAATGATTTAGTTCTACTTCAGCCATATCCTTATTGGTTAATGTTAGGTTCAAAAATTTGAAATTACTAATGTCCAAAATGTTATTATGTAAGGATCTGCATCCTTAGCATCATGCAGGTATCATATGAAAAAAAAAGTTTTGAAATGGCATAATTTAAAGAAATTAATTACAAGCAGTTCCTGTTTTTTAAGACAAAAAAGGGATGTAACCAAATTAAAATGGAGAGTTTAGGGACTACTGCCTATTAAAGTTAGAATTTTGATTTACATTTTCTTATATATATACACACACACACTTCTTTCATTTTTTAACTAAGAAATATTTTTATGAAAACAGTAATTCATCAAAAGTATTAGATATTAAGTATTACATAATGTTTTTCTTCTCTATCGGCACTAATCACTTTAAAACAGAGGCATCTTTTAGCAAAATATCCTCAGCTTCTGATCTGCTTGCAGCTGACTTCTAGGCTGTAGCTTTTGAAAAAAAAAAAAAAAAAAAAAAAAAAAAAAAAAAAACTGTTATTTTCTATAGTTTCCCTTTAGCTTAGTGAACTTTTTAAATTTCACCAAAGCCTGAAGTTTTTTCTCAGTAAATAGATCTTCCATTTAGGAAATATAGCTCCTGTTGTTTAGCTTATTGTTTTTTTCCCCTTTATTTTAAAATTTTCCCCTGGGGATTACATTTTACTATATGGTATGATCCCAAGGTCTGTGCTCTACATAGGTATTTAGCAATAACACTTTTTCTGGTTTTTGTTTGAAGTGTATTAGAAGGAAACAGTAATGTAAACAAACATGCTGTGTTATAGTGTTTTTTTTTTTTTTTTTTTTTTTTTTTTAAACCATGTTGGAGTAAAATTGTGTTTTAGGAATATTGTGTTGTATGGGGGTTATGTGTATTTTACAGTTTTCTAAAGCTTTTTTTTAAGGAAAGAAGCTAACCTTTTAATTCTTGTAATTGCTTTAGTATGATGTAATTATTTTGTTATCTTATTTTTTAAACATTAGAATCATATTGTGATAAATTTTTCTGTAAAGTTTAAATCATGTAATTTTACCAATTGTGGTTTTGAAATTTTAGCTTTGATGTGAAATGACAGTGTAAACAAATTGTAAAAATTTAGATGTAAAAATTAATAATTAAATGTTAATTTCATGTGTAAAATTAACTCTAAACTTCATGTGTAAAATTAACTCTAACTAACTAATTTTAGAAACTCTAACAGTTTCTAAAATTTAAATTAATATCTAAAATTTTAGACAATTAAGAGCTAATTTAACTTTTAAAAGAAAATAATAATGCTCATGTTTCATTTCTTGCAGATATTTTATTCAACATAATGAATGCAGTTGAAAGTCTTGATGTTTTGATTTCATTTTTTATACAAATAGTTTTTGTACTTTGTTAGTTTTATGTGAATATGAAATGTATATTTAGTCTAAAAAATGCTATGGTGATATATTGCTGCAGTGATTATAATTTTCCTTTTGTTTAAATAGAAAAAAAATTTAATTTTTTATGAGTAAAAAGCATTGTTTAAAATTTGAAATATATTTATTTATAATTTAAGTGACATGAAAGTGTTTCAAACTCATAAATACTTTATCTAATTCTCAATATTTAAACCAGAATTGTACAATACAGATATTTTTACTTTCACAAAAATTTGTTGGGAAGTACTATACCTGCGAATGATCAATGGTAATATGTGCCTTTTTAATGTAAAAATATTCCTGGAGCAATCCAAAAAACATATACAGTTTGAAAAATAAGTGAGGAATTGATAGACTTTTTGAGGTATTTTCATAAGTAGTTTTTAGTGGAAGGGTATTATTATGGAAAGAAACAAATATAATTATTTTCAAGTAACTATATTTGTTTAAAAAATTATAATTATTCATAAGAACTTAAAGTTTCTCATAGATCAGTTTACTGTAATGTTTGCCATAAGAATTTCTTTCTTTCTTTTTTTTTTTTTCTTTCTTCTGTTGGAAACTTTTGATGTATAGCACTTTTAAGTTCTGTGTTAGTTAACATACTAGAATTGCATATATAACTTTACATTTTGTAAATAAGTCTGATTATAGCTACAGGTAGAAGATTTGTTATCCAGTTAATTTTTTATTTACTTAATTATCTTAGCAAAGGCATTTTTTTCCACCAAGTCTGCAAGTTCATCTTTGAAGAATTTGCAGTATTTCTTCATAGTTGAAGGAATATGATAGTCTTCTCTTATTATCAACACATATTAACTTTTAAATATGTAAATTAAATGTTAAACTGGATGTGATAGTTTGTTCCTTTATGTATAAATCTCTTTTATAACATGTGAACTTGAAAACTTGTTTTATGGTACAGAGAAATAACTTATATAAAAGTTGTTTAAGACTCCTTCCGGATAAATTATTGTAATTTATGTGCATGTAAAAGTATAAAAACAAAAATCGTTGAATGCAATTTTTTTGTACTAATTTCTATATTTTATACATATACAAAGAAATAATGAAAGTTAGAAATACTGTAAGAATATTTATCATGGAAAAATTTTTAAAGATATTTTTAGGTAATATAAAAGCTTCTCTGCTTGTTAAACAGGTTAGTTATTATATGCATTATCATTAAAAATTTTATTCCATTTTTATTTTAATCACAAGTTTAGTTTGAACAGGGTTAAAATTTATCAATAAATATCTTGTAACGATATTAACATCTGAAAACAATTAATGTAATTTTTTTACCTTTCTCTTTACTGCTGCTTTTTTTTTTTTAATATATATTTATTTTATTTGTACTTTACTTCTTTACAGCATCATTAATTGGAATGTTAATGATAAGATTAGGTTTCATTGTCTCTTATTTCACTACATAAAATGTGAACTGGGTGAACATTGAAAATTTATAATTTTCTAAAGATTATAAAGAAAATAGAGTAGTCAGTTTTGTAATTACAAATCTGAATTTTCCTTTTTTTGTAATTTAATAATTTTTCATTTCATTTGTAGTTGAAAGCTAGTAACCTTTAACATGCATAAGTAATTTTAAACTAATATATTATTATTCTGTTTCAAAGCATGCCTATTCATTTTTAACTCATTTAAACAATTAATTGTAATAAATGCATTTTATGAAAAAGTTTAAAATATTCAGTAAATTTCATTATAAATTACATATTTTTAAATTTCAGTTTGTGTTTTACTTGTTTCTTTAAAATTTCTCATCTTTGTTTTGTCATAGCTGCCCTTCTTCCAGACCTTTAATCAATAATTGCATTGTTATTCAAGTGAATAATTTTAATTTGGGCAATCTTTAATTGTGAAAATCAGTACTGAAATCTGGACCCTTACCACCGAGACTTAGTTTTGTTGCAATTGTTTAAACTGCCATTCTATAATTTATCAGTACCTATAAATTATATTGTCTCCTGAAACATATTGTTTTCTGTAATTTTTTAATATATTTCAAAGTTATATTTTTAGAATGTTATTACTTCAGCAATGTAATTGAAAACTCTGATGAGTGCAATAAAAATATTTGTATCATGAAACCATTTTCAGTAGTCTCATTCTTCACTAACCACATTATCAGCAGTTTTCAAACTGCACCTTGGGATGCCATAGGTGATTTTAAAATTTACCATGCAATATTGCAATATTTTAAAAGAAATGAAGTTTAATCTATTTAGTTTAAGATCTTTAAAGTCTTGGTGCTATGATAAGAACAGCATTTAACACACACACCATTCAAAACCAGTGTTTGTGAAAAGCACCTACCAACTCATCAGTTGGTTTGAAGATTACTTTCCAAGGGATGTTTGAAAGTTTACATGTATTTAAGGCAATTTTAAAATCAAAGCTTCATCTGTGCTTAACTTTGGAAAAGAAATATTCTCGAGCTGTCTTGTAATAATAGTCTGAAGGCAAAGCAGTGAAGAACTGATTTTGGATATTATTAAAAGCTGAATAATCCGTGTTCAGTGCCATTTTAATATAAAGCTGAGTATTTGGTGGTCATTGTTATAAAAAGCAAGTATTGTGAGAATGTATAATTGCAAATAAGTAGGCTATGTCCACCCTGATTCCAAGATTTCAGAAGCTGTGTGCAATGAAAAAATATTCACATTTCTCACTGATTGCAATTCAATAATTGAATTGTTTAAAATGTATATTTAATTGGTACATTTTATGTAAATAATTTCTGATACGAAAAATATTTCCTTTATTTTTTAACTTAATGATGTAAATGCATCAACTGTAGTATGCGTAGTTTTTAGGTTCTGACTTTGGGTGCTTTCTGATACATTAAGACGGGGTTTTTTAGGGTCTTCTCAGCTGCTCCTGGAAAGTAAAATAAATAAAACGTGAATGAAATTAAAGAATGAGAAACAGGTAGTATTACAAGCAGAAATTTAGAAATTATATTTTGAAGGTAGAAATTCATCAAATTCTGTGTCTCATCTAGCGGATATGCTTGGCAATTGCTTAGAACTGCATATTCAAGAAGTTTCTTGCTCATTCTCAATTGCTTGAGAATTCTTGGAATCATCTGAAAGCTTCTCAAAACCTAGCAAGTTTGTAGGATTAATAACAAATCTGTCTAATTTTAACATGTTAAACCTTTAACCATAACTCGTCATTCTGGACAGGAGATTTCCGGAATCAGCTACAATGGCCGAGATTTAAACATCGGTATTTATCGGCAGCTATTTGTTTGTAGCTCCATCATCTAGTTTGCTCTGCCAGGCTCAAACAGCAAACAACTTCCACAGTTCCATTTAACCTACTTTATGTTTATCTCAAAAATCTGCATAATCATCTGGAGGGGACAAGTTGTGTGAATAAGCTGGAAGGGACAGAAAAGATGCAAATTAAAAAACAGACTTGCTAGTTAAAAATAAATCGTCACAAATTCTAAGGTCATAGCGATAATATCATTTCTTAGTGATTCTTCTACGACTTTTCTGTAGATTTTCTGCACATTTCTGTATTAGTTATGTAATTAATAAGTAATCATTGATAAAGTATAACCTATTAAAAGCAGACTGTGTACGACGTGTGACTAAGGGAAGTCACCATATCAGTTCCTCCTCCTACGGTTGTTTTGAGATAGTGATCATATGTGCAAAAAACAACTCCTGGGGTCTCTTTATGTTATACAGTCAAAAGTCGTTAATCCGGACTCGTCGGGACTTCGGCGATTCCGGATTATCGATTTTTACGGATTATAGATCATCAGTTTAAATCTGGTAAGATGGCATGCAGAAATTATAAAATTAAAAATATGAAACCGTAATTTATGAAATAAAGAACAATTATGATCTAAAGGGTATCAAAATTTACAAAAAAAAAGCTTAATATTTATTTGTTTACTTTATTAAACATTTCTTTCAATGCAAGTTGTTTAAGTTGCTTCGTTTTTTATGTGATAATACATTCTCTTTAATTCTATAATCAGACATAATTTCTTCTTCAGTTACAAAGTTCCGCTGTTTAAGTCCTATAATTGCTGTGTCTACCGACTAATTTGTCAATCGAAATTTTTTCGTTTTCAATAACCTCTGTTACTTTCTTCGCTATCGGAAGCGAATTATAATGACGGGGAATTTGATTTAAATCATATCAAAGACTGAGTACATCGAGATGAAATACTACATTTAGTATGGAATTATAAGCCAAATAAAATAAAAACATCTGCCCTGAAGATAAGGATAGTGCTGACAGATAAATTTCCAATTCATTGCGCGCCGCGGCGTTAAAGATAAACAAAGTTTACATAAACAAAGGATGTCCATTTATCCATTTTTTGCAGCAATTCCACTTTTTGTTTAATGAACTTTGAAACATACTTTCGCTTTGTAGATTTTTTACATATTAATAAATATGTATTAGAAATTCTATTTGACATAATCGAAAGTTCAAGCTTACTTTTATAAAATTGCTCTAACAGTCTGCAAAAGATAATAAGCCGGATCCAATTCGAAGATTAAGGAACAACGCAATCTGCAACATTAACTGAAATAGATAATTAGATAATTTTAGCTTAGCTTATACCGTCCGTTATACATTAAACGTGCACTCGTAAACGTATTTTGCGCACACGCACAAGCATATTCGCAGCCGTAAAGGTCTTGTGCGCATACGTCAAAGCGACGCATGCGCAGAAAGTTTGTAGCTTTGAGGTCCGGATTATGGCTGTCTGAATTAACAACTTTTGACTGTATCTTAATTTAGCTGCATAGTATTTAAAAATTATATATGGATAGTAAAAATTTAAAATAAGTAATTAGTGAATATATTTTGAACTGAACTGCATGTAATGATCAACTTGCAGAAATATAATTTATTGTTACGACTATAATGGTGCTGTCAGGGTTAACGTAAAACATCTGTTGTAACACAAATTAGTACGTTTTATTGAACTTTGAATTAACCTTCCGGTATGATTAACTTTTGATACTATCACACTGAGGATAAATTGAGATGTTATGGTTAAAAATTTGTAATATAATTCAATTTCATAGGCATTGGGCGCAGTTTAGATATCTTCTTGTTTAACTTTCCGTTACTATCTACACCTTTTGGCTACCCATGCAATACAGTTCGTAAATATCATTAACTTGTAAGGCATAGAATGAGTCTAAGAGTATTCATAAGTGGGAAGATGACTCTAAAAAGGGCTTCATGAGTCAAAAGGTTTAGAAACCCCTGCATTCTGAAATAAAAGTGTTTGAAAAACCATTGTTCTATGTGATAAGCCTTTTTTTTTTTTTTTTTTTTTTTTAACCCATTGATGAGACTTGTTTGTGTTTTCCATACATTACCTCCTCATTTAAAACGTTTTCTGTTTTATTTCCGTTAACGATCTAGAAATAATTTTCATGATCTCATGTTTATGGCAATGAACAGCAAATTGCAATCAATAAAATTCCGATTTCCATACTCAAGGACCTTATTCCGGATATGAATTCCTGGGGTATTTATAAGATTCCTTGCCAGTGTGGTTTAATTTATATTGGCCAGACTAAGAGAGCCTTAAAATTTTGCGTCAAGGAACATGAGGCATATGTTAGAAAAAAGGAAACACAGAAGTCTTCTGTTGCTCAACATTGTTGGTCCGAAAATCACAATTTCAATTTTTCTGCTGCCAAAATTGTTCAAAAAACATCTTCCATTGGACAATTGGATTTTCTAGAGGCATTTCACATTCAAAAAAATCTTTCTGTTCTAGTTAACGATCCTAATTCCAAACCGTCTTTGTCTTCGGCCTTTAAAGAAATTATGTTTTAGTTCTGGTTTCATCAACAGATGGCGCCACTTGCTTATTCCTGCTCAGGCTTTCTTATCTTATCTAGTCATTATTTCCTATCCTGTTCATTGGCGGTTTTGCAGCTGAGGATGGTGGTTCGGTAAAACCATCGAAACTAGTCTTGCGGAAATTTTTGAAAATATAACGCTGATTTTTGTTGTTTTACTTTTGAATTAGCAAATTGCAGTTCAAATCGTGGTAGTAAAATGAATTTTGATTAATTAATTTTTAGATACAATTTTTCAGAAGTGGGTTAGAAATGACTGTCATTCTAAGAATTAATTAAAAACTAATAGAAAATAAACAAATTTTAATCACTCTCCAACCTATAGCTGTTTCCTCCATTTCTGTAATAAAATTAGCTTTAAAAACGAGATTGCTATTTTTTAAATTGGTGCTGTTATCTTAAATTTTACGGTGTCTGTTTTTATTTATTTTCAATTCTACTATCAAAAAATACACTCTTAGGGGGGGGGAAAGACGCACCAAGAAGGAATTATCCAAATGGGACGAAAATCGGTAGAAGTGATGTACATGAACAAATATATATATATATATAACAAGCAAGGTTGTTAATACAATACTGTATGACCAATTTGGTCTAGATAACATTTTGCGCAATATGCTGCAAAATAAGTAAATTAGAAATTGTAGTAAGCTCGCCTAAAAGTTACCAGGAGCTGTGGCTCCAAAAAGTTCAATATATATATATATATATATAGATAGATTACAGTTTGAGAAAAAAATGGATGATTTATTGAAGTGAGCTTCACAAAGTGAAAAAGTCAGTAACGCGTTTGTCCACCTCTGGCCCTTATGCAAGCAATTATTCGGCTTGGCATCGATTGATAGAGGTTGCGGATGCCCTCCTCAGGGATATCGTGCCAAATTCTGTCCAACTGGCGCTTTAGATCGTCAACATCCCGAGCTGGTTGGAGGGCTCTGCCCGTAATGCTCAAAACTAGCTCAATAGGAGAGAGATCCGGCGACCTTGCTGACCAAGGTAATGTTCGGCAAGCAGTAGAAACATGTGCAGTGTGGGGGCGGGCATTATCTTGCTGAAATGTAAGCCCAGGGTGGCGTGATATGAAGGGCAACACAACGGGCCTAGAAATTCGTCAACGTACCGCTGTGCTGTAAGGTTGCGACGGATGACAACCAAAAGAGTCCTACTATGAAATGAAATGGCACCCCAGACCATCACTTCTGGTTGTCAGCTGGAAGACGGTCAGTTTGGTATCACACC